CCCGAAGCTAGCATAAAAAGCCGAATTGGTTATGTATATTATAAAATACACCTTCACCATAAGCCGGTTATAGTTCGCTTTTTAAACAGAAGAAGCAATTTGCGTTAGCGTACCAGTATGTAAAGCCAAGTGATAGTTTTTATCACTTCCCAGCAAAAGCTCTAATTTACTTTCCCACGGAAGTTAGTGACCTGTACGTGCATAAACGTATCCCTATTTATAATTGGGTCGTTCCCGAATATGAACGTATATGGAATATATCCATCTATATGATGTTTTTTTTTCACTTTTAATTAAATATTTTTTAGTTAATCTATGTTTACCAAAACTAAAGTCTTACATTAACTCCCGAGTAAGTTCTAGCTAGATTAATTTAACATTACTGAAATCAGTTAAAGATTGTAATACATTCTTATCGAAATAATATCATGGAAGTACTGTGTAAGTATGTTAAATGCCATTGTTCTATTTCGACGCATTTTCACGAACCTATCGTTTTTTCGAACAAAAAACAAGAAACAGCCTAGCAGTCGTAAGGCCTAACGATCTTATGGGATTGCCAATTGAGATTTAGCCAGTAGTTGCTACAGCTATGTTATAGTTGTTACACGGAAAAGCATTATTTCGCCATAATCGTTTCCAGGCTTAGTGCTTCCTATCTAAGACTTGCTTCCTTTTCCGCGGGAGTTCAGCGCGATTTCCGGCTGCCAGTTCGCCTGGATTGAGTCGCCGTAAAGTTCTTTGCATGCGTGTTCGCTTGTCGAGTTTAGCGACGCTAAACAAAAAACTTCGACCCAGAATGAAGAAGTAAGGCCAACTTGGCGTAACTTACACCACGAAGTTATCAAGCGCAAAGTACGCACAACCAATAAACAACTGTTATAAATAAACAAAGTTTACACGATAGCGAATGTCACCATCTCTCCAATGTTTACATTTGCAAAGCAAACGTGGGCGGATATTGATTTTGCATTGAAAATTACATTTAAAACACTTGTTTTTTTTTTCTGCAAGGCCCGCAAACAGCAATGCAAAGTGCGTAAAAGGCAAACCAGCCGGTGAACAGTGAGAAGTTTTCATATTTCATTTTAAATCATAAGAAAAGCTTTAAAAAAAATCCTTCATAAGAATGTGTCGTTTTCTGGATATCAATTCGGTTCATTCATCAGGAGGCAGTTGCTTATTTTTTGCATTTGTGCCTTCGCGCATTAGGCCTTGTTTGGGTCTAGCTATAAATACATTTTAAAAACTGTTTTATTTAAATATGAAAAATTCGGTCCAATCGTAATATTTCTTAAGTCTCGTTTCTGGCTAGAATATTACTATTAAATAATGAGAAGGTACTAACACTTGTGGTGATCAACACTTGTGAGGTTGTATTAGCGAGAGCCCCAATGCATTTGAAACGAAATCTCACGAAGATGCCACACTACGTAAGTAACCGTCTTTCTAAGTTGGCATATTCCAGTAAGTAAATAAAGATTTTTTTTTCTGCGGGGTTTTACGAAATCCACTTGAAGGTCTCGAAGCGCCTATAATGGCCACGGTGTTTCACAGGACAGACTCTCTATAATCACGCAAGTCCTATCTTCGCATCCATTTAATGCGCCTAAATGAAAAAAATAAATGGAGGCAAAAAGTGGAAGTAATTTCTGGGGCTGCTTTTAGAAGGTGGTCACGTCAGCCCAATGCGAAGAACTATATTGGAGGAAAGTACACTCAGTAGAGGCAGCTATTTAATGAAAAGTTGTCAGAAAATATAGTTACAGTATAGATAAAAAGGTAGTTGATCATAGGCCTTGCTGTGACGTCAGGTTAGCGATGAGCTATCCTGGAATTTATATAGGCTACTTGCGTGCTTAAAAAAGTTTTTAGTTTGTTAAATATTAACAGAAAAAGGTTTTCATTTCCATCCTCTTTGCCTAAGTAGAACTTAGCAGCCCACTGACGCAAGTATTACCAGACCAAACCTATCAATTGTCAAAAGTTCACAGCTGCTTGGAGACCGTATCTGGGTATATGTCATGCCACGGTTATCCTTAAAGGGCAATGAAAGCAATGTAGAATTATATATGCGCCTATCATCGATAAATGACGATACACATATGGGTCCATTTCTGCTGCTGTCTTCTAAAAATTTGATAACAAAAACTCCGGTCTCGCCTGCTTAAACGTCACCAATCAAAGCTGTGGGAGTCCAATGTCTCTTAAACCAAGTAATATTATATATATTACAAATAGACGAAACCTACTCTGGAAAAGGATAAAATGCTCGAATTGCAAACATTCATGTACAAATTTGCAGGGTCTATAGTCTTTAATCGCAAACTATTTATTGTATTAAGTTGCATAATAGTTTTTGTATTAAATAGAAAATGTTGAATTCTTTATTCCTGAATCCCCCGTCATTGTTTATGACCTTTTCCCCTCTTGTCGCCAAATGATGCATCCAGTCTGCCAGAAGATAGCGGGTTTCGTCTCGAATTTTTAAAAGAGCGTTTTGAATTATTGATCCGTGTTTATGGCAAAGCCACGAAGGTGCTTGCTTAGTGAACAGCAAAGATGAAAATCCGTACGCAGAAGGTCCGGAGGTGCTAGAGAGTGCAACAAAGCCCCCTCTCGAAGTCCAGGAGGGCAGGTTCGATTACGTGTATCGCGCGTGGCCTCGCCATTTCAAGAAATAGGACGAATATCGGGTCTTTTTCTCTTGAATAGCCTGGTTGACTCGATGCGACTGACTAAATGAAGATACCAATTAACTGCCTGGTTTTCTCAGTGAATCAAACTCTTAAAATTCCACTACGCGCAAAAAATAGTCTTTTTTAAATAAAAATATGATTGGATTTTAGACTTCGTCTTTTTCCTAGACCTACGCATTGTAACCTCGAGTTTATATTGCCATACAGATGCCATTTTTCCTTACCAGAAACACTTCTGATTTCAAATCGGTCGATGTGGTCGCACGATGCTCAATACTAGACCAACTGCTGGGATGGAACGTTGAGCTGTAATTCTTTGTTGAATCCGGAGAATTTGCAAATTTTTATATAAACCCAATATATTTGCGGTGTTTAATGACGTTCTTGAGACTGTAACTCGTATTTTCGGCCAATTCTCGAGCTATTTGTCGATCATATCCCCTTAAAAGTACCTCTAGATGGTCGTCATCAACGTGGAGCCGTCCTCTAGGCCTCAGATACCATTTTCAAGTTTGGCAGAAGTATCTAAATGTGCTTTTTTAACCTGAAACTTCCATTTTTGTGGAGTCTTTGGAATTAGATATTCTCTCGAGTTAGGTTAGTTGGGCCGAGGCTCAACATCTTACTCTGTCATGCATCTACTCTCTCACCCAAAGGAGCCCTAATCTACTTGGTTCCCATTTTTAATTCAATAGCAAGAAAGAATTTGGTCTCCCGCTGTCATTTGAAGTTAAGTTGTGCGCTAACGGATAGCAACGCCACTTTAAATTAACTTATCTAATGTTGGATGGCTAAAAGTTGGATATATATATATATCCAACTTTTGAATGAAAAGATAATTACAATAATAATTATATTTTAATTTGTCATTAAATGTTGGACATAGAATACAGTAGCAATTCAACCGTAGTAAACTGTAGTCGAATGAAAAAGCGTTCTCGTTTCGGTCGTAGAATGCTTTATCAAAAACGTTTAGATCTGCAGAGTAATAGTTTAAGTCCATCGGCCATAAGGCCCACGAGTCAATCGGACCTTGTTACAGACACGAAAGAAATGTCCATAGAAATTAAGCACAAAAATTAGCACAAGTCCAAAAAAATATGCAAGAAGCACAGAGACTCTTGAAGTTGATTTTGAATTATTTGAAGCCACCGCAGCATGCTATACAATATAAGTGGTCTATTTTATCGAGATAGATAGTCAAAATCATATGTCAAATGCTATGTTCGAATTTAGATCACTGCAGATAGTTGCCATTTGCACATTAACTTAAAGCTTCATGCTGACTAGGTCGAAATGACTTGGCCCACAAGACATACAAGCTGTACCAATTCAGGAAATATACGCAAATTTATGCCTACCTTTCATATTCATTGAAACGAAGGCAAGCAAACGAAGTCTGATGGGTTTCAGGCATAGGATGATTGGAGAGGCAGTCAGATGGAATTGGCCGCCAGGTTTCGTATCCAAGCTTGCTATCGATTGGTAATCTAGATAAGTTGTGACATTACATACCGTTTTATCGGTAGCTTCGCTCACGCAGTAGAATATTGCAAAAGCACACATTTCTCAGCTCATAGATAACCAAACTGATACGATAAAGGTGCCTATGCAGAGACTGTCCTTTATTGTAGATATTTTGAAATCTACAGTTATTTAATTTGACCATCTCATCAATCTAATGAGGTATATGCTGAAGATTTAAATATTTGTTAAAAGACTATTCCGTGGATTATTAAAGCAGTAAAGTAGTATAAATCCAGTTTCACTAATGAGTCGAACGTTTTCTCATACCGTTTGATGGACATATCAACTCTTGTCCTCAGATTTGCATAACCAGTTGGCACAGTTACATAGCGGTCTACTGAAGACAAGCAGCAACTACACTGAAGTAAGCAAACTGCAAATGATAATGAGAGAATATAAAAATGTCTTTTAACGCCCAAAATTTTTTAATCTATGGTAAAAGGTCTATGGCTTTTTAATTCGCAGTAATCAGAGATAAAAGCTTCTGACAGTTATCACAGGTTGTAGGTGGTCTCCATACTTCCCCTAACCAGCTTCGATTTAAGATAGAATTTGTCGTCCGCAGATGAAATGACCCGAGCCTGGTATGCTTCTCCCTATTCACGAAAATTTCCCCCAACGGCACTATTACACACACAACTCAACCGTAGTAAACTGTAGTCGAATGAAGAAACGTTCTCGTTTCGGTCGTAGTATGATGGTCTAATGAAAAAAAAACACACATTAGATTATGCACGTTGATATTTATTAGTAGCATTGTAATCATCATTGTGCTTTGCCAGCTCTTCCTGTACTCAATAAAATCCCTATTGTTAATTCCAAACTTAGTCAATGTGTCGTACCTTTTCCAAGCTCAGTCTTGGGACTATCCAGATCACAAATGTATCACTCTGAAACTAGCAAGAACCTCAGCTATACAACGTATGTACAACCTACCATTGTGTTCTTCAGTGTCTTCCTATTCATTCGCTATATACGCATCCCGATAGAAGCTAGGCCACTGGGTCGGCAAATGTCGGTTGCTATCAGTTGATTTCTTTTACGGTGATCACAGATGTGGTGCTATTGGCTATCTAATTTTGCCTCATCAGACTAATTCAAATGTATACTTTTAGAGACCGCAACAGTGTAAGTAGTAGCACCCTTGGCCATGCTTCTATAGTTGTTGTTACATCAACGTATCCGCGGCCAAGCAGATAGTAAAAAATATTTTTTTTTTTCATTTATTGTCGGCGTTTTCGACTTTAGCATACTAGTACGCCGTGCCGACTCAGTTGACGCAAAACCCTTACATTCTATTGAAATAGAAAGTTACTAATTCGATCATAATTAGACGCTAGTGATTGAAACTAAATTATGGCCTATTCTGCTGTGTTGTATATGATGTATATAGTACTTGTCAAGGTTCGGCAGTTATAAATGGTCCACGAATTATCACTCTGTTGCTATTAGGACTATGTCTTGAGTACTAATCTAAGAAAGCTCTGTATTTACAGCCAAAAAAGCATTGCACAAAACACAGAGAAGACGTAAAACAATGTGACTCGAGCGAGAGATCGCTCAATCGATGAAATACTTAATACTCCGCTCTATGCCAACTATGAAATTGAGTTTTTGTGCCAAACTTATTTGTCGTTCAATAATTACATATATACACACCTAAAGTAAAAACTATTTGTTCTTTAAAGGCTTTTCCGACTCGCGTGAGGAACCAGCTTTAGCTCATTCCCTTAAAACGTGATCAGCGTCGTTCATGTAAACCAGTGTAGCTAATCCTGCCAAATTTGATAGCATCAACTATATACCAAACACTTCGTCTAGGATTCATTTGTGACGGCCTTTCTTTGCAGGTATTGGTGTTTTAATGTCAAATTGCATATAAGACAGAGTTACCCGCGCAGTTACTTTTTCATAGTGTACCTAGCTTCTTCTGGCTGAAACCTTCTTGTCGACGTAACAGGTTCACATTCGACGTTTGCGTCGAGATTGGTGAACAATATTACGATTGACGTCAGCAAAATTAAGTTTTCAACGAATACTCGGCACTCTTGCTTTGCAGGAACAAATGTATATCGTTGAAGCTAGGTCTGTCGACCTCGTTAAGCTGCCAACACTCGAGCATTAGGTCGAAAAGAACCTTGGGACATTCAGGCGGCTGACTGAGATGGACCGCTTGCCCATCCATATTATACATGTGGCGCGCATTTTCAACGACGACGTCGTCGCTGCAGTCGGCAAACGGTCTTTGGCGAGCAAATGTCAGTATCTCCCATAGTGTAACGGCAAATGCCCAGACATCACTTTTTGTAGAGAAACGTCCGAAGAGGATAGCTTCCCATGACATCCATCTAACAGGTAGCATGCTACTTCCGCTTTGTACACGATAATAGTCCTGCTGGTATTCAGAGCGACTTATGGCGAAATCGCAGATTTTTACAGAAAAGCCCGCTCCGACAAGACAATTTCGTGCAGCCACATCACGGTGAACAAAATTTATAGATTCAAGATATTTCAACCCTGACGCGATTTGAGTAGCCACGAACATTAAAGTGTCCTGACAAAGCGTCTTAGCGACACCGTTCGCAACGAACGTGTCAGGCAGATGCTCATTGAGAAACTCCTTTAGGTCACCGTGTTCGAAATATTCGACGATCATAGCTAAGGGCTCGTCCCGAGTGCATACGCCAAGAATCTGCGAAATATTCGGATCACGGATACGTGATAATATCTTCACTTCCTTGAAGAACTCCTTTCGCGCTGCTTCACCTGCATCTCTGTGCAGAGATTTAACTACGACCAAAAATGTGCTATCAACAGTACAAAGAGGCTCCACGAGCTCACGGATTCCTGAAAACGTATGAGTAGGTTCATGCTGTAAAAAATACGTTTTACACATCTTTTTCTTTTGTCGATTGAACATTAACGAGACATATCTTAATAGGCTCTCACCTAATCCAAATGTAATTTAAAATTGTTGTACTCAACAAATTTACCTGACGATTGTAATACATTAGGAAGATATATGAATACAATTCCCTTCTGAACTTATTGTTGAAGGCGAACGTTAATAGGACACTTCGTCTCGGGGTGTAGCAGCAGTAACCTATATGTACTCCGCTATTTTAAACTAAAAGAGGAGATTGTCTACGTAAATGGGCACTATTTTTTTCGGGCGTCAATACATCCGTAAAATGCCCCATTACTGTAGTGGGGTCACTGGGCATATGATTGCTGGACAAATACTAATCAGGGTATTATTTAAAGTAGGCGATTCTGTACATGTTATGACATGGCCTTCTGGTAACAGGACTATAAAAGGGCATATCAATGTCACGCAAACGTACGCACCTTCCGCCTGGGCAAGATGAACCTCACCGAATTGCCCCTCGCCGATTTTGTTGAGAAGTCGCATTCGGTGCCGGGGTAATTCACGGACCTGCGTAGTGGTAGAAAGATGAGAAGAATTTTGTACGGTGACTGTACAGTTATTGCAAGCTGGGCAAGAGTCGTTGCCGGACGAACTAGCAGAACTAGCCGACAAGTCAAGGTCAGGCACAGCGTACAGCGTGCTTCCACTTACGCCTTGAATATTCAGGGAGACGCTGGTACCCACTACAACGTCGGCGGCGGCATAGTGATTTTCAGCTGGATTTGGCAGTGACGGCTGGGAACACTTGCCAAGCGGCCTATTAAAAGTAGGTGGCAAAACGTTGCGATCTGAGGCCTTTGGACTTCTTGGTGCTATGCAGTCTTGAGGTATAGCGTACTCGCGCGATGAATCCACTAAGAAAACCACTGTAAAATCAACAGAAGTACAGGTTTATTATGCTTGTTTTGCAGAAAGCGTGAAAACTTTTATATTCGTAAAGCTTGTCTTTTCATTGAAAAATACTTACAATCCTATACGCATAACTGAGGATAATAGTAACAAGTTATACTAACCGTTACTATATGTTGCGGGATAAACCGAAGCTTTAAAGTCATCGGGTTCCTGATAGACTAGCTTATCCGGATCATCCAGGTTCACTTGCCCATAGACGTTCCCGTTCAATGCGTACTTCGGTTGGTATTGTAGCTCCAGACCTTTCATATTAACTGTAATACGATGGTCATTCGTGGAGTGCGCGACTGGTTTCAGAATACCGTGCGATGCTGCTTGCTTACGTCGTCGATGGCGGAACGTTATTATGAAGATCGCCAACATTAGCAGCATGATCACTGCAGCTAGAACAGCAATCACAATAGCGACATGATGCCTCCCTATTGAGTCTTCAGTAACGGCCGGAAACACTGCGGTAGCAAAATGTACACGAGTCAAAGTATTGACGTTACAAACGTGAAAGGGGTGCATAATGAATATCTTATGCAATTACAATCGTTGACGACAACTGATCTGCTCTATATTTGCTACCTATCTAGATTTATTAAATATTACTACAGTACTTGCAATACGGCTCTATGTTTAAAGCTTTTATACGAATCAAACTGAACTTGTAATAACTATTTAATTTTTATAGAAAATGGTCATCTGTGGCATACTTAAAATGCAAGTAGTTCTATAATAGCACTTAATATTTATTTCTACTATTTTTAATGTATATCTAATTTTCGAAATTACACGTTCTCTACCTCCTATTGTATAGCGGTAGAAAAATGTATTTTATACACGGTCATACTAACCAAGTGGGGGTACGACAGGTTCGTCCTCCTCGGTAAAATTTCCAGCAGCAGGCACCGAGCTGAATGCTACCTCGCTTAATACAATCCATCCAGAGCGATAACTCAGATGTACTTTGATAAAACGGCCTATTTTGTGATGCAAGCGGATTGTGACGTTGCGAGCTTTCTCCGGCAGTGGATTGTGCGTGTTCTTGAAAATCAATGGCTCATCCAGGTACCACCGGCCACCGATGGAGAACCAGAACTTTGCCGAGCTAAATAGCGACACGTTCTTCGTATGTTGATTGTTGCAATAAAAATACGCTGCAGAAAAGTTACGCACCGCGTCAAAATGGAACACCATCTCAAGTGGGTTTGAATGTGACGAATTACTACGCCACCCAACCCACCCGTAGTCTTTTCCCGGACCTGTCGAATGCTCGCTCATGAAATAATCGCCTCCCCCAACGCCGTCAGTAAGTTGGCCAAGGCCATCGTGAAGGGTACTGTCGTCACGACCTCCGTCATAGGTCTTATCGAACAAGTTAACCGTTGAACTGAAACGTTCACCAATTGGGGCCGTATACGAAACAATACCCTCTGAAATAAAAGCAACGATCATCCGTGTTTAAAGTTAAATACTTCCATCGCAAGATACGTTTTCGAGTTTGCAACTTTACCTATGGTTGTTGTTGCCTTTATCACAGTTTTAGGTATTTCAAGTATAATACGATGCGCTATGTTATCACTCAGTCCTACAGTGCTATACGACGACTGGCGGAGCTATCTACGGCTTTTGTCTATGGTAAGTTGAACTAGAGAGGATTAGACGACGTCCTGAACACCTCGTCTGAAGAATAGGTGTCCTCAAGCGTACAAATTTTTTCGTCGCGTTTATATTGAGAACAAAAAAATGCGATTTAAGCAACTGAAAATCCACATCGTTGCTGAAAACAAGAACGTTTTATTCTTTTTTTATGGTTAGAAGAGACAATGAATAGTCGCTGCCAGCTCAAATGGCTTTAACTGCGAAGTGCTTGTCTGTAAAAGCCCTCGAGGAAGGTCTATTATGAATTTTCTTCGCCCATCTCATTCCTGTTGATGTCATCAAAATTCGCTCCTACTTCATTCCTCCACTGATTTCATACACTTATGTTTTCCTTTGCCGCATTTCTTCACGTAGACGTAATACGTAGTCTTGAGTTACGCCAGTACGACAACATCATCAAATGTTATATTTCGTATATTTCCAGTACTCATGAACCTCATCGACGAGAATTCAGGTTTATAAGAACACGTACATCTTTTTTATATAAATACCATAGAAAATGAAGTGGTAAGCTAAAACAAAGGGGAGCAAATCTAACCAGCTCGTTCGAATATCAAAATAGACGACCTGATTTGAAAAAATTAACTGGCCTAGCACCTCCCTCGTTGCAACGTGTTGGGTTGAGACAGCTGACCTTTCGTTAGCGACCGTTAGATTAATAATATCATTAAAGGATCGACGTTTCTGAATCAGTCGCATTGAAAATAATAACATTTAGGGCAGACTTTACGACGGCAACTCTCAATACGAAGAAAATATATGTAAAACTGCAGACGGAGTTGAAAAATTAGACCATACTCACGCATCCATTTGCAGCCGTACAGCTCGACCCTCATACATACTGTGCGAATGTCTTTTGAATACGGCACAATACGAATGCGATCCGATATAATGAGCGGATCCAAGGCTCTAAACTCGGATGTGTAGGTATTCGAATTACCCTCAATAACCTGTAATTAAATACCACAAAGACAGAGGGTTACACAAAAAATGGTATTGCTTTTTTATATCTATGTAGCAATACTGTCTAAAATTATAATGATATTGAAATCAACAAAATGTCGTGTCAGGTAAAACCGTTACAATGGGATCATGATTGGTAGATAATCTCTGCAATTTTCGTCATGATGTAACGGTAACGTATTTAACGTATAGGACTTGTTGACGTATGACGCGCTGTAAATTCGAAACTGGATATACTTTATGTAGTGCTTGGCGCGTGTTTTTATTGAAAATGTGTTCATATGTCGGATTTAGAAACCTGTCATACAAAATATTTAATAGTGTATAGCATTTAATGGAAGGCAATACATGCAGCAAAAGTAAGTAGGTTTTATATATGGTTTATATACACTCAGCTGCTTCTTGAGACCTTCTACAACGAAAGGAGAGTTTTAGCTGAAATAACGCGCCAAACTTTCAATTGTGGGTCGACCTTTTTCGCAGGCGATAATGATAAGAACTCTGCAGTACATCTGCGGTTGTACTGATACCGTCGAAAATCTCACTAGAACGTTTACTGTGCATTCGTTTATGAAACGTTACGTATAATACGAGTATACCTTTTGGACGGGACTGGAACAGCGCCTGTCGTATACTCTCGGTTTCTTCATCAGCTGTTACCTCTAATGAGAGCACCACCTCGGGGTAAGCCACCCCATCTGCCGGGGAATGGCACCTTCTCTTCTCCTGTGGCTTGCCAGGTGGCGTACCGCCCCCAGGGAGCTTAGACGTTTCTGTCTAGCAGGGGCAAAATCCAAAACGAATGACCACCTAAATGCCTCCGGACAGGCAAGTGTGGCGCAAGCAACTGGGGGCTAGCCAGCCTGCCCTACAACTCTACAACACTCAGAGCAAGGGGCAAGGGGTCACCATCGGAACACAAAGCCCTGTGGACAATCCGGCTTATCGTCACATCGAAAACCCCACTGCCTCCACATCCACACCCGCACTGACACCCTTGGGCGATCCCTTCGAATTGATGCAACGTTATGAGAGGCAAGTCAAACAAAGCCAGCGCAAAACTTGCTAGCTCCAGCTGGGTCAGCTATAACCGGACGATGGTAAAATTAGAATCCGGGAAAACTGAGCTATAGTAGTATAGCAGCTGGAGAACGTTAGCGCGTACCTATTGCTTCCGCTGTAGGTATTTTTCCTACTAGCTTCGTCAGATTCATAGAGATAAATGAAGTACAGGCTTCGGGCGAGCAGAAAATGCACAAGTAACGGCATGTAAGTTTCCTTTACAATTAAGCAGGTGCATCCCGTTCCGATAGAATAAAACGATCGTTGTACAGAAGTTGTTGTATGTTCTACAGGTTGTTGATTTTAAGGTCTTTAAGGCATTTCAAGGAAGCAGCGCAGAACTTCTAGGTGCTTCGAAGGAGCTAAACAATAGGGTGCTATTAATAATACATTGATTGATTGATTTGTCGTATGTCTGACACTATATCCAACACATAAATCACTGTTCGGTCATAGAAAATATGCGTTAGGTGGTCATGTAGCACAGCTATGCCACAATACTTGCTACATGAATCAATATGCCACTTCCTAATCGCTTATTTATGTTAGCAGCCTTCCATAGCCAAACAATCACCGTACCAGTCGATAACGTATTGTAATGTTCTACAACTATGCATGACCAACATGTTAATTATTTCTTTACCCGCATATAAACCGTCCTTTACTGTCGTCTGCGTGTCTTGTGTCAGTTATACGAATAATAGGTTATTATTAAAAAAAATATCGTTGCAACTAGCTACGTAACCTGCTCACTTTTTTACGAGTAGGCCACAGAACTAAGTTGTTTCAAATATAAATGCGAAATCCGAAGTTTACGATCTACTACCGCTCATGTTCTGTGTTCTACACTATAGCGAACGAATTGGAAGGCGGTATTCGGCTGCACCCTTTAACGATGATCTTCAGATATACCAATCTGCCGTTTTTGATTCCTGATCCTTACAATTTTCGAAATTTTACGTGTTCCTATAATTGACGTTCCGAATCAGTATCTGTGGACTTAGAATTCCAAAGCACAAACACCTAGCATGTGCTAGGTGTATATATATATGTACGTATATATACAATCTGAAACAGTTTCGATTACCCTAGACCACCTAAGATAAATAGAGAGTGCCTATCTGAAGTAACACAATGTTCAAATAGGCAAACAAGTGTTAGTCTGCTGTTCAGAAAGGATATGATACTACATATATAGTTATGGCAACACGCTGTGAACATACAAATACGTTTATACGTGTATTGAGGAAGAACATTTCAAGGCATTTTACCGCTTACACGCGCACAGGAACACACAAGCACGCTATAGCGAGCCCCTCATAGCGCAGCTTCATCTACACCCGCTTGGGCTGATAGACGGTTGCGCGTCATTCTGTTCCATTCCTCAAAGGCACATACGAGACTCGTCGTACGTGTGCGTATAGGTCTGCAGGAGAGTAAGAGGGGAAGCGTTAGACGCCCCACTGAGAGCCACAATGGTCTTATTAATATCAAATTGGCCCCCAGCCTACCCAGCTTAGAGTGGAGCGGCTTCAGTGGGGTCGAGACGCCACTGCGCAAAGAAGGGCAGAGAAAAGCATATGGAATGGGGCTGTAAGAGGTTGGGCGGAGGGGGTTACATACATGTTGTGGGTCGTGGGTGGAAAAGACCCAAGTGAAACACTCTGCACAGTCACCGCTTTCGCCACCACCAGTTTGAATGCCACCCCAATAATTCAGCAGGCTAAGACCACCTGCACCACCATCACTATTACACTAAACTGGGCTAGAGTAGGAAGCAGAGGAGAAGGGACAGGGGCAAAAAGGGGCGGGAAAGGGGTTGGCAGGGCTAAGTCTTTCTTTCGTTCATGCTCAGGCTGGCCGTAGAAAGCTACCATCACCTTGCATGGAGCAGATGGTAGAAACCCAGCTGGGACGACTTTAACCTTTATTCACCCAAAGAAACTATCTGAGACAACTACGGTAGAGGGCGTTGCCTTTTTCAGGAAGACACATGCAAGTAAATTAGCTTGGTACGTATTTGGCCTCATTTAGTAAATGAAACACGGAAATGTATGGTTTGTCTAGTTACGCTAGCAAGTAAAATCTTTAACTGTTCATGTATGGATTAAAATCATTAGAGGTAGACAATAGTTAATTCAAATCTAACAGTTAATAGCAGTAGCATGAAAGGCCTAGTAGTAACTATTACTTAGAGAGGAAGCGTCATGAATTCGTTCATCGGAGATTTTACTGCTTTCTTAAAGCATGGGCTTAATTGTTAGTCTCAACTGTTTTCTACTCGTTGCTTTATTTTGCCACCCAGTAATTAGAAGCGATGTGGCTTTCTTGCGGAATTTTCCCAAGTATGGCATTATAGGTTAGACCTAGACGTATCTAGTAAATCCGCGTAACATCAAATAGATATCTTAATTCTTTGTCCCAAACATTGCCTTTCTCATGACAGTTGAGGGTTGTTTTATGTATCTACAGGTAAATTTCGTACAGTTACTTAAAATCCAACCTTTATATTTTCTATGGACGTAATGACTATTGAAATTGTTCAGCACAAACAATACAGTAGCACTCATAATAAAGATGGATCATGGGACATTTAGATGCAAATGGTAGATTCATGGTATCTCTTGTGGAGCAATACTATGTTGTAGCAGTTGGTTCGAAATGGTAGCACTACGTGTTCTGCTACATTGATCTGCCAGCATTGCGTTTGCGTGTTTCTGCGTGCTTGTGTGTGTAACGATGATCGGTCCGGGCACTTTGGCCATCAATGCTTGACGAAAGGTAGTGAGAGGACCTTTGGCACTATGAAGGTACTATGGTCAGGCCCGTGTTATTATTAGCGCTGGCCGTTACGGTGGTCATCTCAGTAAGTGCTGCTCGAAGTACGACACCACACCCTCAATTGACCGTAGTTGTATTCTTGCTGCTGCTCCACCCAAATGCTACCTTAGTTAATGCGACAACAAATGGAAGTGTTTCTATCGAAAGTGTCGAACGATACTACAAGTTACGCGAAAACTGAATGGAAAAACCTGCCCTAACGCAAAACCCTTTCCGCCATCTTGAATTCAGATACCAACTTCATGAATTAGGATAGGCAATACTCATGATAATTTTGAGCGTCATGCAAGCTCGCTTTATTTAAAAAAAAAATGGCCATGTTACAAAACAACTGGAATGCCAAGGCGAAGATTTACCTAAATACACATTCTTTACTGGTTGTTTGCTGCTCGCCCCAACGAGAAAGTAGATTGAATTGGACTAATTGCATCTTGCCGACCAGCTCACTAGGGACATGATATCTACACTCTATACTTTCAGAAATACGCCGGTTATACTTGGGTCAAGGAGATATCCAGTTATGCAGGGTAGCAGGATGACAGCAGACTAAGAAGGTCATGCCACTGACTATGCGTGCTCTTCCGGCTTTGTAACTAAATTGACAAAACAGGAAGCAGGCCAAAAACACGAAAAACCACGGAGTGGCAACCAATGCATTCGAAGTGACAAGCCCAAATAAGCTAAGTTCCCTTATGCAACTTAGCGGTCGTTAAGGGCCACGTAGGCCCGCAGAACCCTCAGAGGAGAGCATACAGGCTGGAAGACGACGCAGTACCTCGGAAAAATGATCCTGATTAATTCTGACAGCTCAAACAAAGCGCAACGCACCGACGTCCGAGCACTTTCAAGCACGCCTACGTCACCGACTGTCGGCAGTAGAAAGTGGTTTTCGTGACTCGAGACCTGTCACTCAATTTTCCGCGTAACTTTGCGGAGGCACAAATTGGGTTCATATTATCACCTCGCTGCGCGCACTCACCGAAACAGCATTCGGTTTACTTCCCTTAAGACAATACTACACAAGCAAAAATAAGGGGCAGTGGGCATTAAAGTATGCACACGTATGCCTTATTTACGTTAGTACAATTAAAAGATCATACGTTAGTGCAAAAACAAAGCTTTCAGATTACCTTATTATGTAAAGGCAATATCCATGATTGATGCGTTTTCAATCGACAAGCGAAAAAACATAAAACGTTACTCACCATGAAGCTAGATAGGTTATACAATGGGCCAACAAATTAGTATAGAAGATGTATCGGTAGTACTTGTTATATTGATTGTATTGCAGCAAGATACAGAGTAAACTTAGACAGGCAATTATGTACTTTTTTTTTTTAAATTAAAATATTTAAGAAACTATATTTCCTTTATGTTTCTCCAAGGATGTTTCACAAACCTAGCTCTGATTGTTTAATTTTTTTAAAATTTTTATTTCGTTATAAATTTTATAAATAAAATTTAAAGAGAAACACAAAATTCAATATGTATGTTGATGTAACAATATTCCCACTTCCTCGGCGAAGGAATAAACATTTTTAAGAATTTACACATTTCCTTATAAAATTAGGTGTTAAATTTTAACGATACACCAAGTCTCAAGTACTTCTCTGCACACCTTAGCCTAAATTATGAATACACAATTTCCTTAGATACGTAACAAGCTTGACAGCGTAAATTATTTCCTTAGTAGTTAGTACAAGAAACAGAAAAAATCCTGCTCTGCTTCTATCTCAGTAGCACTAAATGGCCTATTTTAAAGATACTCACGTATTTCTCGGAGCGATTAATGTACCGTACCCATTTGTTAATGCCTGCTCTCCAGTATTCGATCATATACTTTTCTGCATACTCGCGGCCTTGACCGTTACCGAAGCGGCCCTGAGTAGCAATACCTCGTACCACATAGTAACTTCGAAGGTTGATTTCCAGCCATTCGTATGTGTCCGATGAAATCTGTCGTGACGGACACCAGGCTCCCCCGTTTATTTCGCGATTTAACCTAAACAAAATTATACAGTGCTGAGTGTTTGCTATGCTAACAGAAAGAACGTATTCTAAATTGAACACTATAGACTTCTGCTATCCAGTGGCTTATTAGTGACTGTGATAGTTTTTGTCTTTTTTTTTCCTGAATAATGGTGTGCGTAGATTAGTTAGTCAAGAAATACACTTTGCTCGTTCTGTAATTATCAATCAAGGTCAATTATAACGACTCATCCTTCAATTACAGCCTTCTTCTCAGCCCAGGCTGCGCAGTAGATAATGAAAGACAATGCAGATGGCGCTATTGTGGCGCTATATATATATATATATATATATATATATATATATAGGTTGTTTATAAAACGATTTACCTTTGTCGTACGTCGAACGTTTGGAAAAAGGTAGCGTTCATATAACTGAATATTTGAAAATCTTACTTAGCAGACGGTCATTTCTGCTATTTCCAACTACAGTAGAACGCACCGAACAAATGAAATACACATATCGTTTGGTGTATTTAAAGGCTTTGCATTTAAAGGAGGCTGTTTGGGAAAATGTCTCTCCGGAAAGCCAGTTCACATCTACTAGACCCTCAGAATAGAGAGCTTCACTTGATTTCCAATCATGGTGAATGCATAACGGTAAATAGCTTGATTTTCTTTTATAGTAGTTAGTTGTCTATGGACTTTACTACAAGCTATACATATATTTAGGCACGACATAGTAAAGTATCGCGAACGAGTCGGGTATGCATGCGACCCTCGCTGTCTTAAATACTCCTTGTTGGTCTTCGTCTTTAAGTGAGATAAAAAATTGATTACGGGGCTTTGCACGGTATCTCTTTTTGATAGAATAGATAACCTGTCTTTCAAATACAAGTAAGCGGCTTAACAACCGGCAGATTAAACTGGTTTTCATTTCCTTAACTTTTATTATTACGCTTTTGCTTTCGCAAGATTTGGGAGAAGCCCTTGTGTATGTTTAGATGCTTCCGAGTGTAATAGTATAGCGTAAATTAAGTTCAAACGTCCTTTCTCAGTACGTTTTGATAACTGACAGACGCTTATAGAAGGTAACACGTTCACACAATTATTTCAGTGTAAACTGAACCGTGATGTTGCTGGGTGGGTTGCTTATAATACGGGGATAGCCCATTTGTGCTTGGTCGTTCGAAATAATACAGTCTATATCTAAAAGTATAAGTTGTTAGTGAGAGTACGGTGATCTTAGGCCATTCTAGATAGGGGTGTGCAGATCAGAAATCCACCGAAGAGTGTAAAACAGTGTCCTCTTAAGGAAAGCGTCGACCGAGATAGCAAAAGATGCGAGCCGCACAAGCTCTTACAGCCGTCCTCAGCTCCGAGGCCCCGGACGGGAAGGCAAAGCAGACAAACGAAGCCACTGGCGTGAACCTAGGTAGCATTCGTATTGAGGGCCAGCTAAGCTGAAAAGCGGACAACTCGAGGCAACTTACGGACCGTCCGTATCTATGTAGAGTTGTCACGCTTAGAGTTCACTTAAAAGATGATAAACACTTGCTATTTACTGGACTCAATGCCACACCGTTGGGCAACGCATGTTCAGTGATCCTTGACGGAAACTAAGTCAAACTCATTGTATTTCGGAGAAATGGTAAACCTTAAGTCATATTTGACCGAAGGTAAAATGTTTTTGTATCATTCAATAATGGAATTTAACTAATGGTTAAATAGTTTAGAATATATAGGCAAAAACCTTGCATTCGCACATTATTTTTCATTGGAAACTGTCTCAAAGACGCTTAAGCCGATTCAGACATGTTTCAGTATTATCATCTAAATATAAATTCAAAAAAATGTTTAAAATAAAAAATGAACCAAAAGATTTCGTCTGCGGACGTCAACCCCGCCGGCATACATTAAGCTGTTACTAGAAAATCCGACGGTTTTGAAAGTGCATAATTTTTGGATTAGTTAAGCTAAATGGAAAGTTCCTATGTGTATTTTCTTTTCTTTTTAAAAAACATATTCCTTCATTTGTCTACACATTTACCCTATCGTTCTGGCGAATTCTAGACAGCCATATTCTTGCCATTCGCATTCGCGTTCCCATATTTAATTCTTCTGACTATGGTTTCTCGAAGCAAACTGATAATGAGATATGCTTGTCCACCATCCCCAAGAATACACCGACTTCGATTAGGAGAGTAAGCGGGTTCAAGCCAACATTGGATATTGTTTTGTTTAATCTAATTGAGACATGGCGATGAAGTCTGGCTTTCATCAAGTAAGCAGACTGCATGCATTTGATTGCCGTGGGAACGGCGTGTGAACCATTTGAGAACCTCAAACAGGCGGCGAGACTGTATTCATTGTTTCAGTGTCTCTCACAGTAGCCGATGCCCACTGCAAGTAGTACTACCATCCTACGTCCAAATATACCGTCGAACCCAATTTCTCTCCGAAGGGCAGCATTTTTTCGCCTGCTACATCTCTGACTTGCAATAGAAATTCAAGCACGTCTTCTCTATGACGATCAAATGCTCAAGGCAAATTTCTGTTGGCTAAAAGTTTACAAACGGCACGTGGAAAAGACTACACGTATTTTCACTCAATCGACTTACGGAAGACCCATTTTTTACTCAGTCTCCGTTTTTTCGTACTTGGAATGTAACTTAATAACATGTCACATCTGAAACGCTAGTTTGGCTCACAGAGTCGCAGATAATCAACGAAGCTTTCTTGAAAGGCCTCACCGATTGCGACAATGCATCCTCGTCATTTGGATCCAGATATCCATTCGTCTCTAACAAGTTCCTAGGACGCTGGAGCATTTACTAGCAAAATTTCTACCAGCGTAGCATAGTTCAAAAGTCGTTCACTTTCAAAGTCCGCTGGATTTGCTTGTAGCAGCCATATATATATATATATATATATATACATATATA